GCTGCGTTCAGCAGACTCAACAGTTTTGCAACCGTTTTCTGATTGTCTGCTGAGATAGGACCATTCTTCTAGATCTAAAAGTATGATCCAATTAGCGCGAAGGAAACTTACAACAGTTGCAAAACAAACGTTCTGCTGAACGCACCCATTGGAACATGTTGGAGCATGCGACGCGAACAAACCTTAAGATTCTACCGAGGGTTATGCGGGGTCTACAATAAAAGATTAAAAGTTTGAGCGGTCGTAGGGTCTTACTTCCTATTAAAAGGAATGAAATAGTGCTCATTAATCGCCTACGTGCTAACCACTATAATCTTAATTATAGCTTGCACAGGAAAAACATGGTGGCTTCCAAAGCTTGCCCCTGTGGAGATCCCAATCAGGACATAAATCACATCATCTTTCGTTGCCCCATTTCCTCTCCTAGAGCTACTCACCTGGTTTCATTCTGCAATACCATCTCCGCTTATTCATCTCTCACTCCAAATGACATTTTCCCTCTCCTCAAAAAACCATCTCCCAAACTTTGTCGCCTGCTTCTTGCCTTTATTAAATCCAATAACTTAATTATCTAAACATCCTTGCTCGGGCTCGTTCTTGTGTTCCCTTAGATATTTCGATTTAACGCGGGCTTTATTCCCCCACTTCAGGCTCAATACTCAGCGCGACACCTACGTTACTCGCCGCCATCTTACGGTGGCCATATTCGATACTGGCCGTATCGTCGCTGTATGTGATCGAGGCCATTCATTTCAAGAAGAAGAAGGTCGTAGGGTCTTAAGGAGGTAATCGAGTAAATTGAAAATTTTACGAAAATTCTAAAAAAATTAGTTAAAGTTCACAAATTTTACATGTAAGCTCTATTCCATGCCGTCATGAAACGCACATTAAACTTGATATGAAAGGGATCGGAATTTACAAACTTTTTAAAAAACTGATATGTTGTATATAATAATATTAGCAATGATATAAACAAAATTGGTGACTCGTAGCCACATACTTTTTTAATAAAAGCGATATGAAAATGATGATATTCATCAGAAGACGAAATATGGTTAGGTTATATGTCGTGACAAGGCACAACTGCATATGCGACGTTGCCACACCTTTGTTAACACGAATGGTACGGGACAATGAGTGTGTGCGTGAAGCGATCTCATTGGTCAATGCTGTATCATTGCATCAAAAAGTTTAGCCGGTTGTACACGAACTAACTTTTGGAAGTGACTGTCACTCGACTACCTCCTTAAGTCGTAGAAAATTGATCAATCACAGTTAATTATTCTTCTCATATTCGACTGTGATTGATCAATTTTCTACGACTTAAGACTCTACGATTGTTACGACTTCTATTGTAGACCCCGCATTATGCGGGGTCTACAATAGAAGTCGTAGCGATCGTAGGGTCTTAAGCCCAGTGTCCACGATGCTAGAAATCCATCCGAGATCTCGGATGAAGAAAGAATTGACCAATCGCATTGATCATGTGACTAAATTGTTTAAATGTGATTGGTTAATTCTTTCTCTCTCCGAGATCTCGGACCAATTTCTAGCATCGTGGACACAAGGCTTTAAGTCGTAGAAAATTTACTAATCACAGTTGATTATTCTTCTCATATTCGACTGTGATTGGTCAATTTTCTACGACTTAAGACCCTACGAC